TGGTGAAGCATCTCAGAAATGAGCCGGGGAGAATTCTCCTGCTTGTCACAGTATCAAGTATTCTGAGACCCGCTATATTGAACGCAGTACTCAGGGTACTGTACATTTTGGATATAACCTAAGGGAGGGATCAGTGAACCAAACAAAGAGTATTATTTGATAATTGTATTAACTAAAAGTAGGACATTTCAAAGTAACTCGTTTGGTTGTGGTCATTTTGTTTTGTTGGAATCGTCTCGGATTGAAAAAAACCTGTTGGTCCCATTTTTCTTCTTCTCTTGAGCTTATCTTGATGCTGTTGAAATTCTTCGTCATCTCAAAAATGTCGATAGTCATTTTGAGTTCCTTCAGGTTTCTGATATGTTGATTCAATAAGTCGTTGATGCACATCTGAGCGGCCAGCAAACAAATGAAATGGTCATTGGGGTAGGAGACTACTTATCCAATTATGTAAATCCCTGCAATTTCGAAAACTGCACGAATTTTACAGTATCCATGACATTGTCAAAAATTTCGATATTGACTATTTTGGGTCTGTGAGATGACCGATAGCACCGAATTTAGAAATTCGAGTTTTTGGTATCCTCTTACATAAACTAAGTCAACATCTTTGAGATGTTCTGATAGTATATTCGGTAATTCATCATAGTCTATCAACCCAGAAGAGTATGTTAGCCCATGGAAATTTCGTTGTAGCCAACGAACTTGTTTTTTGTCTGCTTCCTGAAGTACACAAAATGGAACGGCTGCTTTGAATAAATAGTTGTTGATCTGATAGCCATTCGAAATTGATAGTTCTTTGGGGTAAAACGTATTGGATAACGAGAACCCTTGGATATCTATACTTAATAACTTCATTGCGTGGATGATGATACACAACTGAAATTATCGGCTACTTGAATGTTATCTTTAAAATGAAAGAGTATAGTGGGGGGATGAAGAATTTATTTTACAATTGCTTGACAATTTTTGTCAAAGGATTGTAGCTGAACATTGTTGTCTGGAATTGCTTTGGCTGTTTCAAACTCTATTCTCATCACAACTGATCCACTTTGCAAAGATTCTTTCTGATAAGAACAGTCGATGTATGCCATAGGGATGTTCTCTACAAACTCCTTCGGTGAAAATATAGGTTCCTTACTAGATCCATAATACGATGGTCTGAAATTTGCGAACATGGAATATAATTGGGAAGTTTTATTGGCAGTGAAATTCAGATATAAGTCATTATATGGGTATCTGTCACTATCCAAGAAAACTCGAATATTTGTCAAGTCGCAATCATCGAATTTACTTGAATCTGATTTTATATTATTTTTTCTGTCTGTTTGGAAGATAACGATGATGTGACGTGGTGTTTCCAACTGATTTGTCGTTTTGACAGGGCATGTCTTTTTTGTGGATGTAGGCAATTTGGGGTATTCTATGAGTTCCCAACTTCGGAATGCTAGAAATATTTCTTGATTTTTTTCTACCATTTTAGTGAACAGCAATTGTTGTGGAATATCTAATAAAACGTGAGGCACTCTCCAGAATATCTTGTCGATGTGTACTTTTGGAATTTCCTTCACATCGGAACTGTATGTGGCGTCGATGTCGTCATTGCTTCGAATCAACACCAATTCCTGTTTCATGTTCAAAATCACCTTTCGATAGTCCTCGAAGAAACCCATGATGAAGGAAAGTGGGATACATACGCTGGAATTTCCTTTAGCATCTACAAGAACTTTCTCATCCTTGTTGGCGAAATTCACTTTCGGAAACCAACCTGCGTTTTCCAAGTTGATACTTTCATTCGCATTGTATGATAAGTACCCCTTTATTGTCGATACGAGGCCAATATTTCTAACTGAATCAATTGTTATACCATTCAATTCATACCTTACATCTCTGAATAGAAAGTTTATAGCATTATTGATGAATCTGAGTTTGTCGATAGCCGTTCCATTGGATTGCGTCAAACGACCTTCAATGTATAGGTAACTTTCACATGGTAAAGTATATGTATCAAGCTCCTGAATTGATATTCTAATTTCGTCATTGTATTCAAATTTTTGTAGAAATGGTTGGTATGTGTGATACTCCTTTTCTTGAATTTATTGGTCAACTAACGGTTTTTGATTGATATTCAAAATATCCATTATATTAGATGCGTAAATCCTAGAGACTTTAAAAAAAGACGATTGGAACGTGTTAATCTCTTGGTGTTTTTCTTCACACTGGTGGGTTTTCCTAAAATCTTTGCTCCCTTATACCAAATGGGGTCGACCATCCTATTGTACTTGATAACCATAATTATCCGAGTTTTTTCAAGTGAAAGGCTGACAGTTATGGTTTCGCCTCGAAAATTAATGAGTCTTCCAGCTTGATCCAATATTTTGATGGTGATGTTGTCTATTGTCCGTACACTTATCTTGAAATAGATAATGGAATCCACAGTTACGATAATCTTGTATCCTGGAGGAACAACTGTACTGAAAGTGTGAATCGAATGGTTTTCTTGGCCGTTATGATAACTTGTTGCTATATTACAATATATATTGATAGCATTGACACTCAAAATGTTCACTGTGGTATCCGATGTGTGAATTTGATCTGCTTCCAAGATACGATTATTAAATCCCAATAATCCACCAATAGAATTATCAGTGAAATTGATCCTCCTATTTGTATTTATGGTCACTGATAGAGTGTTGAAATTGGGAATGATATCGATTCTTGCTTCTTTGTCGATATCTCTGACTCTAGAAGATATAATGTCCTGGAGATCATTGATTTCATAGGATCCCACTGGAATCGTGATGGAATTATCATTGTCACCGAAAACGAATTGGTTATTTTGTTCGTCTACATTGGGAATTACATTGAATGTTTCGAAACTAGTAAGTCCTATACCATATTCAGTATTTTCCTCCAGATGTATGGCTGGATTGAAATCCGAACTGAAGCACAGAGGATGAACCATATAATGAAAATGCTAGCGACATTATCTATGATGTACTACATGATTTTCAAGTGTGGTACATATTATATAAGAATTTGAGGCAGAGTTGACCGCAATTATAAGGATTGTCCAACTGAAAATCATCATAATTATACTCTACGTTGTTAGAGCTACCATCGCTGTAGAAATATTTTATGAGTTCGAGAGGAGGTCTCAAGTTGCCATAACTATCAAAGTACGAGATATTTTGTCTTGATTTGATAAAACACACCCAATGTGTCCCTTCACCATTTTTTTTGTCAAGATTGACAATACCGCTCTCGTATCTTCTGATTTTATTGGGTAATTCATCCAACATGAACACTCCTCGGAAATGTGGTATTTGTAGTTTGTCAACATATTTCAATAAATCTACATTTGTCAATGGACGGCGTGGTAGCTTCATTTTTAGTTTTTTGAATATGGTTTTAGGAATAATCCATATCCACGTTTGTAAGTTTTCAAGAACAACCCTTTTCCCAATGATTGCTGTTCCATCTTCAAATTATGACGTTTTTGTTCTTCCATCTGTTCTTTTGCCGCTTTAGCTTTGTTTATGGCTTGAGCGATTCCTGCTGCCCCTCCTCCAAGACTACCAAGAGCACCAAGAGCGGCGAATAGAGGAATTAGTGGAATGAACCCTCCAGATTTGGGAATAGGAATGATTCTTTTCTTTGGTTTCAGAACTTTTCTATTGCCAATAGAGGATAATGCTTGGTGTGCAGTAGATCAATATTTTTACCTTTGACACTATTCCGTGCTTTTCGATTCGCTTGATTGAAAGTAAGCGCACCTCATTTTTTCAATCCCATTCCTAGTTTGCTTTTAGTTTTCATTTTTCCTGCGATTCCTAGTGATGCGATCTTTTCACCAAGATTGGAGTTCTAATTGTTAAAACGGCTCAATGCACGCTCAGACAAAATACGATCGGCTTTGTTTCTTCTATTCAAATCTCTGTATTTGGAGTATGCTATATCGTGTTCTTTACAGGCTTCGTCTAATTGATTAATGCCTTTGTCTCCACGGGCAAGTCGCTCAGATAACTTCGTTTCCGGTCCGCAAAAATGATAACCAGGTAGATGCAATTCGAAAAGGAGTTTATCTATGAGAGTATTCAATAAACCTGCTCCTTTCGTGTCACTATGATTACTGAGTTGTTGATTGTACAGATGCATTTGATATACGTGCGGTAGTAAATACCTTAAAGGAGATTGGATATTTCGAATATCATGATGGAGATGAAGTAATTACTCCAGATGAAGTAGCTCCGAATTCTATTATTATATTCGATGATGTAGCCACATGCAATCAGAATATTATTAGAGATTTTTTTTGTTTTGGACGGCACAAGAACACAGATGTATTTTATTTATGCCAGACTTATAGTTCCATACCGAAACAATTGATAAGAGATAATAGCAATCTTATCATCATTTTCAAACAAGATGTAACAAATTTGAAACACATTTACGATTAGACCAAGAGCTCGCGTGAAAGATGGTTAAAGTAAATATTCCAAAGGTATGATGGTTTTGATTGAAGTACCCCACAATAGTAAGTATAACACTACCCGTCTGCCACCTTCAAGTGGGGGCATTAATTCAGGAGGGGGTGTTGAAAGGTCAATTTTTTTGTCAATAGATTAAAGTTGTTCTTCCAGACTGAAAATCTGACCAAATGTTCCCTTTGTCATTGTGAATAAAACTGTGCTTCCAGATTTTGAGCAGACGGGGGCGTTATCGTAGCAGACGCCGTCAAAAATATGTCAAAAATGTCAAATGACAAAAATGAATATTCCAACTTGCATTTCGCATCAAATGATAGACAATGGAAATATCTACAAGTTTTCTTGAGAGAAAAAATCAGCAGACGGCGGTCCAGAGCCGGCAGACGCCCATTTGTCATGTGAAGTGGTTCCCTTATTTTTTTTTCTGGACGATATCAGAATGATGTTATTCCACGCTGAAATTCGGTACATTTGTTATGTTATTGGTTGTTAATATCACTGTGATTTCAGAGTTTTAGCAGACGAAGTCGTTAGCGAAGCAGACGCCGTCAAAAATGTCAAATGACAAGAATAAATATTCCAACTTGCATTTTGTATCAAATGATAGACAATGGAAATATCTACAGGTTTTCTTGGGAGAAAAAATCAGCAGACGGCGGTCCAGAGCCAGCAGACGCCCATTTGTCATGTGAAGTGGTTCCCTTATTTTTTCTGGACGATATCTGAATGATGTTATTCCAGTCTGAAATTCGGTACATTTGTTATGTTTTTGGTTGTGTATATCAATGTGATTTCAGATTTCTAGCAGACGAAGTCGTTATCGAAGCAGACGCCGTGAAAAATATGTCAAAAATGTCAAAAATATGGCAAATTTGTCAAATGACAAGAATAAATATTTCAACTTGTATTTTGCATCGAATGATAGAGAATTAAAGAATCCACAACTTGCCACTGTAGAAAAAATCATAAGACGGCGGCACAGAACCGGCAGACTCCCATTTGTCTTGTTGAAATATCTCTAATAATTTTTCGGACGATACGTAAGCGACGTCATTCCAAGCTCAAACATGAAGCATATGGTATTTTTTTGTTTGAAACATTCACAATATTGTCAAATTTTGATGAAAGTAAAAGTCTTCCTCTTCTTATATGCAGAAAGGTTTCCAAATTATTGAAAATTGAAAAATAAATAGGATACACATCCAGACAAACAAAGTTCAATTAACTAGAACTAGATGAATATTATAGATTCAATTAAAGATGAACATAACTTTTATAATGAAATGTAGAAAATTTAAGAAAAAAATAACAGAACAAACAGAACAGAACAAATGAAACTCATGGAAATATGCCATTAACTACTACTCATCATCGTCGCTACTGTGAGCGTCTTCAGATTCAACTTCACTTGAATCATCGGAAGCTACTAGTGCTTCATTTAGGTTTTGCGGAAACTGTTCGCTCTCGAACCAATTTATTTTATATTCGCCGTCTTCTTCAACCCATCCATTTCCTTCCGGGTTGAAGAAATTTGGTTTCTCACTAAAAGCAAATTTCCAAGTAGCTGCAATTTGATTTGTACGTCGTATTTTGCAAATCAATGTATCCTTACAAGGAGGGATTTGACTGGCCTCAAAATTCTTGATACCCCCGAAAGGAGATTGATTCGATTTTGGCTTGTAGCAATCCAAGAAAATTTCGAACCGAGCCTTATTGACGCTGGATAATTCTCGGTTCCCATAAATTTCGCAGACGTATTCTTCTATATCTAGAGAAATAGAATATTATTCAATTATCGAATTACTATTGAATATCGATGCATACCTTTAATTGTTTCATGAGACAGCGTTTCACTCTCTCCCATTCTACTGAAAGCTTCTTGGAACTTTTTGCTCTTCTCTAGTGAAAGGAGGCTGTGTAGTCACAACCTGTGAAGGCGTGAAATGCTGGTATAGAGCATTACACAAACTGGTACCCAGAGTGAATGCGATTTTATTGATGTCGACCAACCTCAGGTTGTTCTTTGACAAAGTACCACATTCTGTTAGATGTTATGATGTTTATCTGATGGCATGTCATGATGACAACGTTATGTCACTCAATTTTGATGACATAAGGAACCTCATTATGGTACTAAGTACCATAATGAAATTCAATAAGGAAAACATGTAATGGTTTGATCAAAACAGTTTATTCAAAATGCATAACTATGTACAAAACTATTTATTATAAATGGTAAAAGAATAATTACTACAATTTGTAATATCAATATAATGGCAAAGCACAGCTCACTCACCTACTAATATTTGAAACTACACAATACTTACTCCTTTAAAAATAGTTGTCTTTGTGACATGTCGAAAATGCAGTTTTTAATTTTTCGAAAATGTATTGATATAAATGCCATCAGATAAAATTTTGTATGTAATACGAATCATAAACAATCATTATGACACGCGCCGTGTTATCGGACTCGGTTACGCCTCGCCCGATAACATTCACGACTTGTACCATAATGATCGTCTTTATGATCCTTATTACATAAATAACTATTATGTTATATAACCCTCTATATAATATAATATATAATTATGATCATGTCTGTAGATGATAACAGTTGGAAAAGCTTGTTGATACTTCTGTCAGATTGAGGGAATTGTCAATAGAATATATTTTTGAATACCTACCGTTGTATAACTTATAACACATTCCATCCATATTTGAAGTGATAAAGCCATATTTTTGCTGCAAAATTAGGTAACATGATTGACCAGTACATTAAATTTAGAGATCAATTTGAACTCACCAAAAAGCTCTCTGAAACACACAAACACAAAATCTTCCAATAACAATCACTGCAATGTTTTTGATGTCAAAGAGAATTGAGCAATACTACCACTATTTTGAATCAACGACCTTCACACGAGAAGTACAGGGCTAGTTTTATTAATGTGAAGCCCCCTTCATCTTCTTTGTTTTCTATCCATTCGAGAAGATTCAAAACTGATTTTCTTACGATATTTTATATTGATTTCAATCATATTGAGAGAATGTGGCAATACCTCTTCAAACAGAAATATATATTGATTTTTGTATATGGAATGCATTGTATATTTTGATAGATGATGATCCTCCTGTATATATATGTTTGGAATCCGGATGATTTGAATTTGAATTTATCGAAATATACAGGGCGTTTCATTTGAAGAATATATTTATTTTTGTATACCCTGTATATTTGAATAGATATTGCATCATTGTCAAAATGAGTGAAAACTGTTTGAAAAATTGTATGAAATCAATTTCAAAATTTTTCGAATGGGTGGTAAAACAAAAAAGATAGAGGGGGGGGTTCACATTTATAAAACTGGCCCTGTACATTAATTTTCTAGTGTCCGTTCGTGAAAACAAAAACGAATGAGAAACACAATTCACACCCCACTCTCCAGAGCGTCGCACGTGCAGGGTCGTCTTCGAAGCACCGATGATTCAGTAATAAAGTTAAGTAAGTAAGTGAATATTTCATTCCATTTGTATACAGATATAGATTGTAATAAGTCGTAGGTATATAGACAGAAGTTGAGAGATATTCAACAAGACGAATGGGCGTCTGCCGGTTCTGTGCCGCCGTCTTATGATTTTTTCTTCAGAGGAAAGTTGTAGATTCTTTGATTCTCTATCATTTGATGCAAAATATAAGTTGGAATATTTATTCTTGTCATTTGACATTTTTGATATATTTTTGACGGCGTCTGCTTCGATATCGACTTCGTCTGCTCGAAATCTGAAATCACAGTGATATCCACAACCAAAAACATAACAAATGTACCGAATTTCAGCCTGGAATAACATCATTCAGATATCGTCCAGAAAAAAAATAAGGGAACCAGTTCACATGACAAATGGGCGTCTGCCGGCTCTGGACCGCCGCCTGCTGATTTTTTTTCTCAAGAAAACTTGTACATATTTCCATTGTCTATCATTTGATGCGAAATGCAAGTTGGAATATTCATTTTGTCATTTGACATTTTTGACATATTTTTGACGGCGTCTGCTACGATAACGCCCCCGTCTGCTCAAAATCTGGAAGCACAGTTTTATTCACAATGACAAAGGGAACATTTGGTCAGATTTTCAGTCTGGAAGAACAACTTTAATCTAGTGACAAAAAAATTGACCTTTCAACACCCCCTCCTGAATTAATGCCCCCACTTGAAGGTGGCAGACGGGTGGTGTTATACTTACTATTGTGGGGTACTTCAATCAAAACCATCATACCTTTGGAATATTTACTTTAACCATTTTTCACGCGAGCTCTTGGTCTAGATGATCATGTCAATGTGGATATGACATTTCAGAAATTTTCTGAGTTGTGTTCATTCTGTTGGAAGGAGAATCATGGATTTGTTGTGATTGACAAGGATGGAGATATCGGGAAAGGTAGATATAGGAAAGGATTCAATGAAATTTTGATAGTTTAAATTGATGTGAATCATTCGTCAGGTAACAGTATAGTTATGGAGGTTAATCTAGCAAAACAGTTGGTGAAACCAGACAATCTGTCAAGAAAAAATACCAAGGGCTCAAGTCAGATATAGCTCAATCGAAAACTTCATTGGAAAAAACATATGAACCAATAACTGATCCATTAAGAAAATAACTATCATCAATCAATGAAACGGCAGTTCCTAAAGTGGAGAAAACTGAACCTGATTCATTCTCAACTCCCCAACAGAAACAGTATTATAAATTGCTACCAGATGAAACGATTCCACAAAATGAAGAAACATTCCAAACAATTCCACAAAATGAAGAAACATTCTCAGGCAATTACGACAACAAGTTGAAAATCTCCAGGCTGTCCGACAACCAGAATTAGAGAAATATTTGGAAAAATATGAGAAACCTCTTCCTAGGGCTTACATTGAAGATATATTCACAAGTGATCCAGATCAATTTGATCATACATTCGGTATCAGATATGAACTCACAACGGATAGTTGGATGATTGGTGATAGTGTTATAGAATTCCTTGGTCCACATTTTTTGATAAATGAAGTATCCTATAACGGTACACCAGCTCTTCATGAATTTATGTTCAAAAAACATCCACTCGGATACAAACCCAAAGATTTCGATAACTACATTGACATTGTTAAAAACACTAATAATGCCAGTTATTTGCAGTATAATCCTTCGAACGGTATATCAACATCAAGTGCAGAAAAATTTACAACTATAATCAAGCCTAGAGTATGTCACTTCATTATATGGCTAAACAAGTTGGAAAAAAACTCTTGGAAAAACGTCGGATACTCACTAGATCTCAATCTGTAAGTGGAAAAGGAATGGCGACCATGAAACTCAATAACAAGAAAATAGATTACAAATATTATGATGACTACAATGAATTGGTTGAGAGATTGAAATTACTTATAGCGGAACAATATGCAGGTCATACTGGTCATAACAATGAGATAATATCTGTAATTGAAGAGCTTAGAGAAGCGAAAATAATCAAATAAATACTTGTACACAACAGATTTTGTGTTTATTCCTTCAGTTTCTCCAGTACAGGTATCATGCCTATAGATAAATTTGGCAGACATATGTTGAAACCACAACGAGTAGATCAATCCCAGCGAAACTACTCTGTTGATCAAAAACCTGTGAATATATTTCAGCTATACAGTGAAAGTGTTATTTTTACCATTAGTGGAACTATATCAAAGGTGACTAAGCGACTCCCAACACCATGGCAATATGAATTAAATAATAATTCAGTTGATAATACATTTCCTCTAAGAGAGGGGCTTATAATTGCCATAGATAATTATCCAAGTAAATTATCAGTTGTTGTCAACAATAATACAATAGAAGCTAGAGACTTAATTGGTCAGAAATTGACAAGAGGCACGACTTTAAAATTCTTTGCTAAGCCAAATGTTACTGACGATAATTTATACCTTCAGTTAGTCGTGCATTCTCCCATTACCAAGTATGTCTGATATTAAGAAAGAGGTGGTAGAGGAACTTCATAAACCTGCGAGAAGACGATTTCATAGAAGACGAGTCATACTCAAAGGATTGAATGATTTGTGGGAAGCTGATTTGGTTCAAATGATTCCATGTGCTAAATTCAACAAGGGATACAAATATATTTTGGTTGTCATCAACGCATTCTCCAAATACGTTTGGTGTGGAGCTGTCAAAAGTAAGTCAGCAAAATATGTCACACATGCCATGAAGAAAATTCTATCAGTATCAACCACAAAAAATTTACATACTGACCGAGGGCGAAAATTCTATAATAGAGAATTCAATGAGCTTATGCAAAAATTCAAGATAAACCATTATAGCACATTTTCTAGTGTGAAAGCCAGCAATGTAGAACGTGTGAATAGAACATTGAAAAATATGATGTGGAAACAATTTAGTCTCCAAGGTAATTATAAATGGACACACATTCTAGCAGATATCGTTTCAATGTACAATAACAAAAAACACAGAACCATCGGGGTGCAAGTGAATGAGAGAAACGAACAGTTACTTTTGAATACGGTTTATAGTCACATGAAAACAACTAACCAACCAAAGTATAAAGAAAATGATCATGTTCGAATAAGTAAATCTCGAGAGGCGTTTTCTAAAGGTTGGTATTTAAAATTATAAAAATTCGTGCAACAAACCCGACAACATATTACTTGCAAGACATGTCGAAGAATCCTATTCAAGGTGCATTTTATGAACAAGAGTTACAAAAACTGAAGTAACCCGATGTATATTTGATTGAAAAAGTATTGAGAACGAAAGGAAATAAAATGTATGTTAAATGGCTCGGCCTTGATAAATCGCACAATTCAT